GCACCTTTGATAGTGTTGCTTATCATATCTAAGGCCGAGTTTGCTTTCGACTGTTTTTCCGCCAGTTTCTCCTGCTGTTCGGCTGCTTTGTGCTTCAGCTCGCTCACTAAATTTTTCGCGTCAGTTAATTTCAAAATTCCACTCTAAAACAGCCGACTTTTTAAAGTAATCAGGTCTATTTGGTTTGGGAATTATCCATCTACCTCTAGCTTGGTAATTCTGGAATTAATAGACGATTCATTTTCTTTGTAAACTGAGTAGCACAACTTCACCATGCAGATGTATCTGGTTGGTGTTACACTGGGCAAAGATTTGTAGATTTGTTCAAAAGTGCTCGTGGAGTAATTGGCGTCGATTCCACCCAGCCTAAAAATTGAAGAAATAATAAACCAATCCTTCACTATACGCATGTTTCATTCACTGATGAATTAGCTTCTGGGGGAAGCTTTTTATCGTTTCGCCGCTCCACTTTTCTATCCAGACCAGCCCACTATTTTGGGACAAAGCTGGACACTTCACAATTATATCGCGAAGACCCTCACTGTCCTGATCCAGGCAAATAAAAACATGCAGATGTTTTTTGATATCTGGAAACGATTGATTTTTGTTACGCCGAAAGCTTGATCCAATTGTCAGCTAATAAATCTCACTAGTGGCAAAGTATTGGTTCAAATCTCCTTCAAAATTATCACTATCCAGCTTGTCCTTCAACCCTTTAACCAAGGAATCCATCTCAATGTCCGAATAGAGATCCGGAGCCTCGCCTGCACTCATCAACAAATTTATTATGGTCATGTTCAGCTGAGTGCAGAAAACATAATCTTCCAGTATCAAAAGAACGTCTTCGCACTCTAAGCCTGCATATTGGACTGCCTGTAATGAATTTATTAAACAGATGACTGGAATGGTGAGTTGAAACTGACCAGTTTGAGGTCGTTTGGGAACAGTGGAGGACTTCCACTGCACGGATGAATGATTCTCTTGGAAAGAAGGGCTGAGCTGATTTTTATGGCAGTTTTGCGCCCAAGGCCTGATTTTCCAAGCAGCACCAAGTTGTACTGTGGAATAAGCGCAGCTCTTGTTACGGCGGCAGTGAGCGATAGGATTTCGTCGTTAATTATTGTGTCCAGGTCCTGGCTTTCCTTTCCTGGAATCGCCGAAATCATCAGCTATTCTCAATGAAGTTGAGACTGTTGCCTACCAAACTGGACTATTCCACGCTGGACTTCCATTTCCCAATTTTTCTTGGAGAGTTTCTCGAAAACTGTGGCTTTATTTAAGGCTTCGCCTCTTGAAACATAGTAGTGCCTAGAGGCTTGATCTGCGATATTTTCCAGGTCCCAATCGGCTTTTATTGAATCATTCAAAATATTTAGCAGAGTCTGTTTTTGCTCCACCCGCGCCAGTCGGTCGCTGAAAATTTTCAATGCTTCATAGCACATGGCCTG